AGAAAAGCCAGATATGCTATAGTTAGCTTAGCTAAGACCATTGAGGCAAAAGCCCTTCCAATAAATACTTCTGCTCAAAAGACTGAATGAATAGCACTTACCCATGCTCTTCAATGGCAAAAGGCCTAAAAATTAATATTTATACTGACTCCAAATATGCTTGCCTGGAGCTACATGCCCATGGGGAAATTTGGAAGGAAATGGATTATGATTATTATCAAGCCATAACTCCCCAAATATGAGCCTGAAATAAATACTCTTCTTGAGGCTATACACCTATCTAAGGAGGTAGCTTTAATTCACCCCAGAGGATGTCAAAAGGATAGGATCTTGGAATCTAAAGGAAATAATCTAAAGGACCATGCAGCCAAGCAGGCAGCACAAAATAAACAAATATTAAGTCTCATACCAGTCTTAATTCCAATCAAGTCCATAACTCCAGTCTATCCAGACCAAGAAATTCACATGGCCCAGGAACAAGGAAATTCAAAAAAGGCACAGAACTGGCTTGTTAATAATGAGGGGAAAATCTTTATATCCAAAAATAACTCATGGAAGGTAATACAGGGTTTACACCAGGCTACTCATTTGGGCAAAAATGCTTTAAAACATTTAGTTAAAAATATATTTGATGGAGTGAATTTAATAGCTATAATAAAACAGATTGCCAATCCTGTATTGTTTGGGCACAAGTAAATCCAGAAGGTGCAGTCTGTGCCCCCCGTCCCCCCACCGTTTTTGAAACCAGTCCAAGGCCATGGAACATAGCCAGGAGGCAGCTTGATTTCACACAAATGCCTCCTCACAGAGGCTGTAAGTTCCTACTAGTGTTTGTTGATACTTTGACTGGATAGATCGAAGCCCTTCCATGTAAAACTGAAAGAGCCACAGAAGTAACCAAAGTTTTGTGGAGAGACATTATACCTAGATTTTGCCTTCCACAATCTCTAAAGTGACAGTGGTCCTTCTTTTAATACTTTATTAATTTTTTTTTAAAGATTTTATTTATTTATTTGAGAGAGAGAATGAGATAGAGAGAGCATGAGAGGGGGAGGGTCAGAGGGAGAAGCAGACTCCCTGCCGAGCAGGGAGCCCGATGCGGGACTCGATCCCGGGACTCCAGGATCATGACCTGAGCCGAAGGCAGTCGCTTAACCAACTGAGCCACCCAGGCGCCCTCTTTTAATACTTTAAAATGACAACTTAGTCTAGAGACCCAGAAAAACTGGGTTACTCTCTTACCAATAGGACTTCTTAGAATGAGAACTGCTCCAAAACAACCTCTAGGACTAAGCCCTTTTGAGTTACTATATGGAAAACCATTTCTTACAGCGGACCTGTTATTAGATGAAGATTATAATACCTTATTAAATTGTTCACTCAAGGCTGGCTTAATTCATGTTACTTAATGGGTATACTGATCACGTGCTCCCAAAACCTGACTTAACTATAACTGAAGGTCAGTCCCATGTAAGCCCCAGAGACGTAGTTTGTTTAAAAGATTGGAAGTCAAATACAGCAGGGGACTCCAACCCAAAATGGAAAAGTCCATATTGGGTTGTATTATGTACTCCCACTGCAGTAATATTAGAGGGACCCTCTTCCTGGACTCATGTACCTCCTTCCCAGGGAACCCATGAACAAACTAACGTGCCTTCTTACTCCTGTGAACCTGTAGAAGATCTCAAACTCGTCCTCAAGCAAGGATTGAAGACGGTCCTTACCACCCACAGAGTTACTTCTTTGTCCAAATTGGACTCAGCTGCTTCCGCCTTCCATAACTCACCTATAGGTTCGCCAACTGGACAACGTTGACCCATAGGTAGGGACGTCTCTGTGCCCCTATTCAACAGGAAGAAGCTACAGAAGATGAGATCTTCTGCCTTCGACAATCTTAAAGATTTAAGGGTGAGGGTTGTTCGGGGGAGGGGGTGGGGAAATGATGAGAGAAAAGGCAAGCTGAGGGCAAAACATGAACTGACATCCCACTAAACCCCCTCCCCCTAAGGTGCGAGATATATATATATATTTATATATATATATATTTATTTATATATATTATATATATTTATATATATATAAAACATTCCTCGGGCACTAGTAGCTGCCTAAGAACAAAGGCAGGAGAAAAACAAATGGTCAACTGATAAAGATCACAGTCATGTAGGACATGAAACTCCAGTAGACTTTGTAACTGTCTTAATGATTTACAAGAAAAACACAATCTTAATAATAGACCTCCAGTAATCTATAGACTCAGTTTCCTGGAGCCCTAAAGTCACCATCACCTCCATAGGCTAGAAAACCCTATATAATCAGTCACTCACAATCACAATGTACCTCTTTCTGCCCACGGGTCCTGTCCCTGTGCTAGAATAAAAACACCTTTTTGCACCGTAAAAGGTCTCTAGAATTCTTTCTCGACCATTGGGCTCAACGATCCTGCATCAAAGTCACTTAGCAAATCCTAAACATCTCTCAGTTTATCACTGTGCACCGCTGACATGGTTCCAGCCTTTCTCCTTTGTCAACAGATCTGCTGTAAATACCGCTCTGCCCCCAGGTCTCTCCCACGCCTTGCAGCCTGCACATGAAGGCCAAATTTTCCAAAAGCCCTCTGATCAAAACCATTTAATGAAGGTTTCAGAGCTTTCAGAATAAAATCTCGATCTCGCTCCTGCCTACCTACTCTGACCTCGCTGCCTGCACCCTCCCCGTCCCTAGCAACCATGCAATTTCTAGGTGTGACATGATCTTTCCCCTCCTAGCCTGGTAGCTGCTTTTCCCTTGGCCTCAAGTTCTCATTCTCTTCTTTACCTGGATCGCTCTAGATCATCCTTGAAGGCCACTCTCAGAGTTGACTTTCTTTGGAAAGGCATCCCTGACCTTGAGACTTAATTCCCAATTCTTTCTCATCATGCTGCAGCACTCCCCATGCACAGCTAATCTGAACTTCACTGTCTCAGTTGTTTATCTTAATTCATTTTATGGGCACTTTTTGACACAGTGAAGGATTTGCCAGCAGAAGGTCTGATATCAATGTGCTCCGTCTTAAATGAATGAATGAAATAGATATACCGTGTCATGCTTCCTTGCCTGCCTACTCTTGCTCAGAGCCACATACCTTCAGCCCACTCTCCCGCTAATTTACATACGTCAAAACCATTCTCAAAGCACCTATCACATAGTGTCTATAGGTACATCTCCTCTCTGTCTCTCTGCTGATTGTAAGCGCTTCGAGGGCAGAGACCGAGCCTTGTGCTCCTTGCCCACACTGGGTTCTCAAAAAATAAATGGACGATCGATTGGTTGGTGTTGGGACCATTGGAAAACCCACAGGTGGACACATAAGTACAGTAACAACAAACTTGTCTATGATACAGACAAGAAGCTTAGTCCTTCCTGGTGGATGTGATGTGCATACTCAGCAGGAACTAAAGGGGCCTGCCGACAGTGACTGTGTCTGCCACCAGAAGCACAGATGTTGTTAGGACGGCCTTATGTACCTCAAGCTGAGCCAGCAGAAAGCGGAGCTCATACCAGTCCTGAGGCTCACACACCATGGCACTGGGCTGTCAGAGCCCTTCCCTGGCTTTCATAATGTGTAGATGTAACAGGAGAATAATCACAGCAAGAATAAAGGACTAAGTGAACTACTTGGGACCTTTGCCTATTCGTCATCCCCAGCTTATAAAGAAGTCTCAGCAAGTCAACACTTTGCTCACATATAAGAACCTGCCCCTCACTAGACTGAAGAATGGGGGGACTTCCTTCGGGGAGGAGCAATAGCAGAGATATGTGAATATGTTCAAACGGGGGCTGTGGGGCGCCTGGGTGGCTCAGTCGTTAAGCATCTGCCTTCGGCTCAGGTCATGATCCCAAGGTCCTGGGATCGAGCCCCACATCAGGCTCCCTGCTCCGCGGGAAGCCTGCTTCTCCCTCTCCCACTCCCCCTGCTTGTGTTCCCTCTCTCGCTGTGTCTGTCACATAAATAAAATCTTTAAAAAACAAAACAAAAAACAACAACAACAACAAAAAAACGGGGGATGTGAACATTCTTATAGGAGGAAATATTAGTAAATAATTACATAAACCTAGAGCCAGTTGGAGTAATGGAAAGAATAGCAGTCGACGAAGACCAAAAGATCAGGTTTCTAGTCTTGCCTCTGCCATCGGCTGAGCCAAAAGCCAGTTTATCTCTTGGAACCCGGATTTTCTCACATGCAGAATGCATCATAGGGCTCTAGATCTCAATATTCCTTCTACTTCCAATATTCTTTAGCTAGGAATATTTTTTCCCCACCAAGATTTATTTGTGGCCCACACCAAATAGTTGCTGACATCAATGGTTTTGAGAAGACAGCTAGCAAGGTATTTAGTTCTGTTTTCTGGCAATTTAAACTCTTCTTCATTTTCACCAATAAATACATAATTGAGGAGATCCATAGCCCATGAGACAAGTCGGTCAGATACACATACACAACTACGTCCTGCTTCTCCGTCCGCTGAACTGAAGGAACACAGATCTTGGCGGCCCAGGTCCCCTTGCCCCACAACTTACTTTGGGAGTGAAGGGGCTCTCACAATGCAGCAGCTTGCTCCTGCCTTCTGGCTGGGCTGGGGTCTCTGGACCTTTGCCAGAGCCTGACACTGGAGTCCTCAAAACCTGTTCTGGACTCATCTTGCCTTTTGCCTGAAGGGTGCCGACTTCATGGACGCTACTAAGGGGAGGCCTGGGGAGTGTGAACTTAGCCTCTGAGTCCTGACCTTCAGCCCTGTCTGGGGTTTGGCTCGGGGCCTCCCTGCTCTCCTCTGCCTCCCTCTGCCCTTCACTCTCACTCTCTTCTCCACAGTGGGAAAAGTTCAACTTCTGCTTTAGTTCTTTGTTAATACTGCAGTCCTCCATCGCAGCCAGAGAGCTTTACGGCGCAGGCAAGGCCTATCAGACGGGAACACTACAGAGCTGCAGAAGTAAGGAGGAGAAAAGACTGTGAGTTGGCAAACCCCCCCAGTCATAGCCTGCCTTTCCCTCTACCCACTCACAGCTACACAGAGGCATGCCATTAATTTGCTCCCTTAAGTACCACATATCTGTAAGACTTCAGCTTAACCTTATTTCCAGTCTGATTAAAGAAAGCTCCAGTGACTCTTGGAGCAATTAAATCCAATTTATGTATAGAACTCTTCTGGATATCCCATATAGTCTCCCTCAACCCATGTGCTACAAGATACTGGTGAGATAGTTGGATTCCTCTAATTTAGCACAGCTTTAAAAATACCCACTAGCCAATTCGGGAACAAGCTCATTACTGGAAAGAAATCATTTTCACCTGTTTCTACCTACCGTTTAGAAACATCATGCTCTTCTGTCTCCTCCACCCACCCGGTGGCTAACCGCAGTTAATTAAACTCAGCATCACCGGGATAGCATAATCATCCTTAAAGAGCCACTGACTTATCTTGGCTGGAGTTCATCTCCCTAGCAGAGAGACGCCTTAGATTCCTGCCAGGCACACCTGCCCGAATTCAGGTATTTCACGCCCTCCACCCACCCCCAGGTATCAGCAGTTAAAACTTTTAGGGAATAGGGCGAATTTCTAAACTGATAAAAGCCTAGAAAGATCAGCGACACCTAGAAGCGGGTATGTATCACTTGAAAACAGCAATTACTTTGTCCCGAAATGCCTTATTTTGTTAAAAAAAAAAATTACTCTTTAACATACAGTATTTAGTATTTACAGTATTTAAATTATTAATACAGTATTTACAGCATTTAAATCATTTAATTTCTTTCTTGGAGGGGCTGCTTGGGTAAAACTCTGAAGAAAAAAAAAGCTACCAGTATCACTTTATAGGAGAAACCGTGTGAAAGCCCATCCACGGAAAAGGAAAATGATACACAGGAGCCCTCCTGTACCTTCAGTGGGGACTCTAGAGGTACTGGACACATGGACTTAGTTACATGATAAACATGGGTGGAAGAGAGACGTACTGAGGATATTTTTAAAAATATTTTATTATTTATTTGACAGAGAGAGACACAGTGAGAGAGGGAACACAAGCAGGGGGAGTGGGAGAGGGAGAAACGGGCTTCCCGCGGAGCAGGGAGCCTGATGCGGGGCTCAATCCCAGGACCCTGGGATCATGACCTGAGCCGAAGGCAGACGCTTAACGACTGAGCCACCCAGGCGCCCCGGTACTGAGAGTATTTTGATCTTGGCTGAAACAAAGTTAATTTCTCTTACAGTCTTTGGTTACCCGTTGCCCATCACCTGTCTTCTGTTTCCTCTCTCTTCATTAATCCCTCCATGCCTTTCTCCTCTCCTCTCCAATCTTTCCCATCTCTGACCTGAACTCATGAGGACGTTAATCCAAATGAAAACGAACTGGGAGGATGTGAAAGCATTTTTTCAGCTAAAATCCTCCTCAGGCTCCAGCTTTATATAGGTGTGCACACCATCAGATCCTTCCGTTCCCTTCCCTAACCCATCCCACCCACACTGACCTTCCCAAATCATTCCACAGGAAATCCTGTTGCCCATAGCAGGCAGAAGCTCACTGCCCACCTCTGTCATCCCACAGGGGCCAGAGACAAGAAAGTCATCACCAGGGAAAGGAGGACTGAGGTTACAAGTAAAGAAATTGCTATGAACTGAGATTCTGCAGTTGGGAGTGAGTTCCTTGTTCACAACTATCACAGCAGGCCATGTGATATTATTCCTTCACTACAGCCTGGATGTTGACCAGTGTCCCCGTCTCAGGCCATGAGGTGGAGAAGATACTCCCAATTTGGAGACTCCTAATTTAGAATGAGGGGAATTGGGTGGTTGCTAATCTTGATGGCCCAAGGGGATCCCCAGAAGCATGCGTTTTGCCTCTGGCCCACAGCCTCACTATTTGGGGTGTCATGCCTCACTCTTGTTCTTTGTTCTCAGTTTTCTGCACATTATGAAGAATTCCCTCTTTGAATTTGAGAAACAAGACAGAGGATCATAGGCGAAGGGAGGGAAAAATGAAACAAGATGGAACCAGAGAGGGAGACAAACCATAAGAGACTCTTAATCTCAGGAAACAAACCGAGGGTTACTGGAGTGGAGAGGGGTGGGAGGGATGGGGTGGCTGGGTGCTGGACATTGGGAGGGTATGTGCTATGGTGAGCACTGTGAATTGTGTAAGACTGAAGAATCACAGACCTGTACCGCTGAGACAAATAATACATTATATGTTAATAAAAAAATAAATTTTAAAAAAATTTTCCTCTGTTTCAGTGCGTGTTAGTACCCTAGGCATCCATCCCAGGCAAACAGCTTCACATCATGAGACGAGGGGTCAAAGCGGAACGCAGAAAATCTGTGGCAATAAGGGGAAAAGGGGGATTTTTTCCCTTAATACCTGACACGTAGTGGGTGTTCCCTAAGTCATTTTTGAATGGACTTGGGAAGGTAAAATTAATATATCTCAGTTTTGTTTCAAATACTCAGTGTTTGACTTTTTAAAAGTTTGAATATTTTTCTTATTGTTTCAGGGGTTGCTGCAGTGGAGAAAAGCAACGTTCCCAAGGAGTCAGATGTGGAAGGAGGAAGGCAGCTTTGCATCTCAGGTCTGAGATCCCTAAGCCCGGTGCTTGGGGGAAGCTCTCTGCCACTGCTGAGTGACGAGAAAGCTAGACTCAGAGCCCCACTCTGACCCAACCTGGGTGCTGAGGCCTCTGAAACACCAATGGGAAGAACAGAAGCAAGAAAGTCTATCCATTCAAATTGGTTTAGAAGAGGTAGAAACTCATACTCAGCTTTGGGGTAGACTGTTCCTTTGCAAAAGTGAAATTAAGGCCATGGAAAATGAGTTATTTGTTTGAGAGTCTGGCTCCAAGGAGGGACATGCTGGCCTCATTATTCCCTCAGGAGGGAGAATTGTGAAAGGAAAAAAAAAAATGCATGAACAAGCCAAAGCGAAGCTCTAGCACAATATTTATGGAAGACTAAATTAAGACTGAGTCATTCCAGACCCTGAAAAATACCGGTGTTGTATTATGGTGTACTTGATGAGACTGCCCAACGGGGACCCATTGGGAGGTCTGGGTTCCCAAGCAAGAAAGGGACATTTTTCCTCTGAGGCCTTCTGGGAAGCTGGCAGGCTCCAGGACAGGAAGCAAAGACTTGAAGGGGGCTGGGGCTGCAAGCAGCGTTCTGGGCCTCAGACTGTTGGGCCTGGACTCTGAAGACGAGAGACAAACCTGAGGGAAGTCCAGGGTGGTGTAGGGGAACGTTGGCCTTGGTCACCAGAACGTGCCCTTGGGAGACCACAGTGCAGTGGTCAGCGTTCTCAGACTAGGGCCTGCGGGCCTCGCGGACTCGGGGAGGAATCCTCTCTAGCTCACTGAGGAAACCAGAGGACTAGACAGCACCTCTGAGGTCCCTGCCCATCCCAGTCCCATATTCTTCCTTCTCCTTAGCTCGCTCAGTGTCCCATCACAACCGGAAGTGTTGCTTCATCCCCGCAGAGGGAAGTTTGCAGTAACTTAGAGAAGAGCAGACTGTGTTCATCAGCAACCGACATTGGCCAGCTCCCGGGGCAGATCCACCAGCAGCCGTGACCGGCGTGGGCCCACGGCAGCACAGCATCTCAGGTGCTCCTGACTCCTCTCCCAGCCCAGGGTGCTCAGCAAGCCCAAGAGCCTCGAAGGGGACCTTCTCTTGACCTCTTCTCCGCACTCCCAAGAGAGTGCACAGCAGCAGACACCTGTCACTGGCAGGGAATCCAGTGATAATTCTGTAAATCATGAACAATACTTTATATTTGGCCTTCCACGTTTCTCGTTTCCAAGTGCTTACACAGCTGTATCTACTAAGTAGCATTGACAGCAGAACGGAATTCCAAGGAGAGATGGTGGGCTGAGTAAGATGAAGCCTGGAGGTCATTTTAAAGCCTCATTAATTCTTCTTGTTTTGCTTTTTCTTGTGGAAATGTTCAAACATACCAAAAGTGGAGAAAATACAGCATAATGAGTCTCCATGTATCAGCAACGTAGCTTCAAAAATTATGGGCAGCTGTAAAATCTTGTCTCATTTGTATCTGCAATTTTGTTGGATGTGGTGGGTACTGGATTTTTTTTTAAGCAAATCACTGATATCATGTCGTTTCACTCATGAAGACTTTAGTGCCATTAGTAAAAATCCTCAGTCATCTCTTCTCTTCAAATCTACTATAAATCTACCTGATGAATAAATCAGATTCTAACAAACTGCTTCTCTTGCCAAGATGTCCCATTTGCTAAGACTAGAGGATGTCTGTCAAAATAGCTTTTATAATAGAGACATCCTCCTTGTCCACTCACAAAGACATGGTACTCTTCTTAGAACAAGAACAGATTGCTAACGTGACATCCCAATAATTTAGAGACCATTGATGTACTACCCATATTTTAAGGAGCAGGTAGTTTGAAACTACGGTCTAGACTCATTAGTCTGCTGGTCTGTTCTCTATTACCCACAGTTAGGAAAATTTATGTGGCACTTGGCCATTCCCAGATTCTCCAAAATTAGAGCAGATTGGGTTGCCTACATGACCTGGTCCAAGGCCATCCCCGGCCACAGAGATGAGATCTCTGTGTCCCTCCGTCTCTCTCTCACACACACACACACACACACACACACACACACACACACACACACACACTCATTGCTCTCATAGGAAGAGATTCGTTGGAATGGCAAAGAGCTGGATCTGTTGTGCCTAGATCTTGACTATCTCTCTGCTCCCAGGGCTGGGGCTCAAGAAGTCACTAGTAACTTGGTCAAACATTGCCAGCCATTTCTTCATGCTTCTGATCCAGTTACAAGATCCCCACGCTGAAGTTTTACCTTCCTAAAACAAAGCAAACACTTAATGATTTGGGGGAAGTGTGATAAAGAAGAATTACAGCTCCTCCACAGAGGGTAACCACCAGAAACCCTAAAGATAGAAACTGTCAAAAGTGGCTATCCCTGAGGAGGGAGAAGGGTATGGGGGGGGGGGGGTTGGAGGAGAAGGAAATTGCTGCTCACTGTATGTCCTGCGTGTAATTTGATTATTTTGCCATGGAGATCTACTTATTAAAAGAGTAAAAAGAGAAGACTACCTCTCCTAGAAATAAAAGCTTACAAACTTGTAAGAATAGACACATCAATGATAAAGAATACATAAATTAGTAAATATCAGGAATTTAATATTGTAATTTAAAGGGGAATTATAAATCATAGGAATTGAAAGAATTATTCAATAGTGGTATAGCAATTATTGGTTACTAAATTCAATAAAAATTTTAGAGTCTTACTTCATTATCACATTAGCAATATAAACATTGATTAGATTAGGAGATCAAATGTGGAAAACCAATGTATAAATAACTAAAAGAATAAAAGTGAATGTTGATCCAATTTCTGGGTAGGGACCAACTTTCTAAATGTCAAATCAACATAAGAAATCACAAAAAGAATGGGGCGCCTGGGTGGCTCAGTTGGTTAAGCAACTGCCTTCGGCTCGGGTCATGATCCTGGAGTCCCGGGATCGAGTCCCACATCGGGCTCCCTGCTCGGCAGGGGGTCTGCTTCTCCCTCTGCCCTCTTCCCTCTCGTGCTCTCTGTCTCTCATTCTCTCTCTCAAATAAATAAATAAAATCTTTAAAAAAAAAAATCACAAAAAGAATGGGTAAGTTTGACGACTTAAGATTTCAAACTTTTAAATTTCATAAAGCAATTAAGCAGCATTGAAACCGTACAATAAATTGGAACTAAGATTAACAAAAATTATGCCAGACAAAAGATTAATATTCTTATTGTATAAAGAACTCATGTAAATAGAAAACAAGAGCATGAAGACACCAGCAGATAAGCAAGCAGAAGGCATCAGGAGCAGAAAGAACAACCACAAATCACCCACATAGACTTTGAAACCATGATTAGATGCAGTCACAAAACATTAATTTAAAAACAAAGCGCCATGTTCATCTGACAAATTGGCAAAAAAATATTTTAAATGGCAATATCTAACCGGGGCAAGAGTGAAACGAAATTGATGTCCTTATACTACAGTGAATCAACAATTTGGCAAGATTATCAAAAACCTTAAAAACACGAATATATTTTAACCCAGCATTGCCCCCTCTGGCACTCTGCCGTAAATCAACAACCCGAATAGCCAATTACACCTGCCCTGTCACCCCTCCTTCCAGATTTCATTCCTTGCCTGATAGCTGCCTTCCCTGCTAGGCTCTAAGCCTGATGAGAATGGATGTCGGCCTTCTTCGTAGCTGCCCCAGTACTGTGTGCAGGGCTTGGCATATAATGGGTAGTGTTAGTTCAGAGTGAAATTTGGCCAACACTTTAGGCATAACAAAAAGAGGAAGGGCTTGATCGTCCAACAAGGAGAGAATGGTTAAGTAAATTTTCAAACATACATACAATGGGAACCATTAAAATGATGCATATATGAAGTTCCTAATAGGATGGGAAAATGTTTGCAGTCAGAGGCTATGGAAAAAAAGAATACAAAACTGACATATGGTATGATGTCAACATAAACAGAAAACTTTTAATTATATCACTTATTTTAAGATGTAGCATTATTTTTACATGCCACTAAGAATTTTTGAATGCCCCAGATGAGGAGTCTAGCACGATAGCCCACATGCAGCTGGCCAGGGAAACATGCTCGTCTCTACATTTTCATTGGCCGGAGAGAAGGAAAACATCTCACCCAAGAATCTAAACTATAAGCCAGTGTTTACGCTACCTTGCATTTTGAATTCCCACTACCAGTGTGGCCCAAAGAACCTCAAGCAGAGAATTTAACTCAAAGTAGTCTCGGGTTGGTGGTGCCTCCAGATGGCTGACAAAAGCAAACACAAACCTCCTCTGTGAGAACTCGACCTCAGTGGGGCTGGCAGCAATTCGGAGTCACCATAGCGATGTTAGCAAGTGAAAAGCTGCACCCTAGAATTGGTGAAACAGGATAAGCAAAATCCTAAGTGGCCAACTCAGTGATGAGATTAGAGGTCAAAATTACTTTATATAATGTATTTTATATACAGTATATTTTTATATAATGTAGATATGTTTTTAAAGATTTTATTTATTTGAGAGAGAGCAAGCAAGCACAGGCAGGGGGGAGGAGGGCAGAGGGAGAGGGAGAAGCAGGCTCCCTGCTGAGCAGGGAGTGAGATGCGGGGCTCCATCCCAGGGCCCTGGGATCATGACCTGAGCCGAAGACAGATGTTTAACCGACTGAGCCATCCAGGCGCCCCTAGGTATGTTTTATATAATGCAGATATATTCACTATTTGGGAACATAAAATAATTTTAAAATTTAGATATATGGGCTTCTAGGGGAACTCATTCTAAAATATAACTCCATCCTAGGGTCTCCGAATGTGACTGCCCTGCATTTCCTCTTGCCCTTCACACTCCTTTCCCAGCAGAGCTATTCTAATAGCTAATTTTAGTTTCTTTCCTATCATTTTGTGAAATTCAGTAGATCCAGAGAATAAGAATCTGATGGTCAGGTATAAAGCCTCTTTCAGACTGTGAATGTGTGTTAAGAGGCCTATCATCACCATCATTAAAATTTTTGAGCACCTGTTATGTGCAAGATACTGTAGCCAGTGGTACAGAGGTGTGAGTCTCTACTTTTATTCACCTATTTAGTTGACAAATGTCTGTTGTGCAAGGCTCTAGGAATCTGATGATAGACATGGTGGCTGGTGAGCTAAAACCCATAAACGGAGTCTGCGAAAGGCTCTAGGTTTAAGGTTGGGACATTTGAGACTTTTTTTTAAAAGATTTATTTATTTGACACAGAGAGAAAGAGCACAAGCAGGGAGAGGAGTAGACAGAGAGAGAGGGAGAAGCAGGCTCCCCCCCACCCCAGCAGGGAGCAGGATGTGGGGCTCAATCCCAGGACCCTGGAATCATGACCTGAGCCGAAGGCAGACGCTTAACTGAGCCACCCAGGCGCCCTGGGACATTTGAGTCTTCTGTTTACATAGCAAATTATATATATAGGACATATATGTAGGATGACTATATATAGAATAGAGACTATGAGTTTATTTCTTGGTACATACACAACTTGAAGGTATTCAACTTGGGGGTTCAGGATGGAGTTCATACAAAAGATCAGGAAAAAGAAGTCCCTCGGGGGAGAAAGACAAGTCAGAACTGAAACTGATGGCTTTGGAAATTGGCTAAGGATTTTTCTAGGAAACCCCATCGTTATTATTTAGAAATACTATTTTGAATGCCTCAACCCTTGAGTGTATCTGGTGGCTAAGTAATCAGAGGAGGTGGGAATAATAGGAATAGCCATTAATATAAGAAAGCATGAAGCCAGGAGAGAGACTTGTTCAGACACCAGATTTGTCCAAGGTTCAGGAAGGCCCAGCAGTCTGCTTGCTCTCAGAAGGACCCAGTGGATTTATGCACGGGGTGTCCCCTGGGGGGGGGGGGTGTTGATGAAGATTCATACCCTATGTGCCAGAGATACAATGATGATACAATTTAACCCATCTTCCCCAGGAGATCGTCAGTGACGGCCCAGGGCTCCTGCTACCTCCAGGCCAAAATCTATGACATAACAATCTATTTAGGTAGCTAGCCTAAAGAAGGGGGACTGCTTTCATCGTTTATCTATTTAGCTCAACCTCCCCGCTCCCTACCGCGGCAGGTAAGGGACCATCCACCACCCTCTGTGGAGACTTAGTCGCCGAAATGGAGGAGCCCCGGACAGGGTCCAGTGAAGGCCAGGGCAGGGCACTATCCAGCTCGTTCAAGGGCACAGCAGACTGGATTAGAGACACAACTACTTCAGGCCAAACACCAAAATCCCCAGCTCCAGGAGGCCAGGCCAAAGTACAAATAACATCAGAACAGCCTGGCTGCCTCTTTTGCTTCACTTCCAGCCCCGCGCTAGCTTTAACCACGCTTTGAGGATTATGTAACACATTTCTGTCACGGTCCACATAACCAGGGGAATCACAAAAATAGTGATGGCGTATACACATGCACGCTGCACATGCACAGTTCTCCGACGGGATCCTAGGTGAGAACGCCCTTCAGCCCAGCGCAGGTGGACCGAGCCAGGTGGAGGAGGCGCGTCCA